CACAAAATAGTACAAAACAGTAGCAGAGACCTGTGGCCCCCAGCTATTTTTGGATGATATATCAGGTCAACAAAACATGGGCACAGTAACAATATTTTTATACTACATTTATCCATTTTAAATACTAAACTCACTCATTTGTAACAACTAAGGCAAAAACATAATTAATTCAGAAAATCTTTTCAGGACCCCACCTTGATGTTTTGGGACCCCACTTTGGGTCCCGACCCCAACTTTGGGAAACACTGATATAGACCACAACCAAATGATTTAAATGTGAAAAGGAAGGGTTTTAAAGCATGATATATCCTCTTTAAAATTATTAGAAAGTTAGATGTAAAATGGTGATAGTTTTTCAGGAGACTGGGTTGCTTTTCTTGGAGCAGATGGATGGACTCATGCTGGGTCAACATTGGACACTGAGCACCACTTGGAATCGGTGTACGGACAAATGATCACAAAACAAAAACTCACAAGACGAAAGCTCCCAGCCTTAATTAAAAAAGAGATAAAAGTTCATAGTTTTGGGGATTTTTAGAACACCAAAGTTATGATATTTGTGACTCCTCAGAGTTGCTCACTTGTTCCTTATTCTTAGTTTTTCTCACCTTCTAACTTTATGCAACTTATTATTTTTTCTAATGTTTTTATTCATTTGAGCAAGATTGATCAGTTACCATGTGGATGAGTAGGTTCTTTTGAGCGTTTCTTAACACTAACAGTGTTCACCTAGTACATCATCTCATAAAATGCAGACAAGCCTCACTGGGCTAGGACTTTTAGTAGCTTAATGTGGATCTATGAAGGACTTCTTCATACAGCGGGTCAGCACGTCTGCGTGTTTTGCAATTTAGGATAAAATCTCAAGGATTATTTTTAATTGCATGTATTTGTGATATGTGTGATGAATGACAATACTTTGTTATATAAGTATTATGTGCTTTTCTGTCACATAATATGTGGCTAATAAAATTGTATATTTGTGAGCTTTTGTTTTATGAATTGTTTTGTAAGCTTACGCCAGGAATGCTGGTATCAAAGTAACATGGGAGCTTTAAGAGTTCATAATTAACTGAAAATAAACTCCACAAAATGTTACAAAAACGTGAAATCCTCTAAACCATGAAAATTGCAGTTTGGTTGTGACATAATTGTGAAAAATCATTTAACTTTATCTAAGAAAAGTGCTGTACTTTTCCAATATTTGCTGCTCAGAAACACTTTGGATGGATGGGATACTGTGCAAAATAAATAAATAAATAAATAAATAAATAAATAAATAAATAAATAAATAAATAATTCTACTACACTAATTTATTCCAGGTAAGAATTTGATCCAATTTGTGAATTTCTTCAAGTTATCTACCTATCTGACATCACGCTGCAGTCATTATTACCAGATGCTCGCATTCACAGTCGAGGGACTCAGAACCACTTCACCCAGCAGCACCCGTCTCTCTCTGCCCTAAAATAGGGTGTTGCTGGGGTGTCAGAGGATCACACCCCTGTATGTTTCCCACCTGCTCCAGAACCCACCCTGTACTCCCATCTATTGTAGCCACACACTCTCAACACACGCCTGCAGACACCCAGTTAAAGTGCCCCCAGACAAAGAGCACAAAGCACAAAGGTGATGTAGTGACAGATGCTCCTGTCACATGCTTAGCATATCTCCACCTCCAGAATAGTGAAAATGCAAGAGTCAGACTGCCTTCTGAAATCATCAGCACTACTTTTTAAAAAACTCCTTCGCTTTCGCCGTCTCCTAAAATGACAGTTCTTCACCCAGTATTTATCCAATCTGACCAAATAGTATAATTAATGCTTTGCCTTCTCCTACCCCACTGCACTCTCCTTCAGGCCAATGTATTCCCTCCATCTCCCCCGCCTGCCCCCCACCCCTCCTAACCTTTCAGTGCCAAGTTCACAGACAGAGAGAAAGTACTTCCTGTGAGAGGCCGGGCTGGCTGCCAGAGAGACTGATCCACCAATCTGACACATTAATGAGATCCTGGCCCGTAGTACCTGCGTGTCAGGCCTCCTCTGCTGCGGCGCCGTGCCTGCCGTGACCTGTGACACACACACACACACACACACACACACACACACACACACACACACACACACACACACACACA